TACACAGGCACTACCTAGAATTCGGAGTTTTCTGGCATTGGACAAACAAAGATAAGCATAAATCTATATTTTAAAAGCTAAATTTTGATTGAGATTAGTTAGAAATATTTTTAGCATACAGTATGGATGTTTTCCTTAAATGCTTTTCTTAAAATGGATAGTGTTTTGTTTTTTCTTTTCTGATTTCTTGTTTTGTTTATTTTATACTGGTTTACTTACCAAAAAAACCAAATACATTTTGAATAACAGTGGGTAAGTGGAATATGTATTTGTCAATTTTAGTACATAGAGTGGTTTTTTTAGGAGTGTATTATATGCATTATCCCTCTTAGTCTTTACAGCGACCTTGCAAGGTAAATAATTTTACTGTCTATTTCACACAGGAAGAAATTGAGACTTGGGTAGTCTGAATTGCTTTGCGTAAGTTTTAGTAGATAGTGGCAGAGCGAACGTATCCGGATCTGTCTGGCGGCCTAGGCTTTGTGTAGCCGCCTGCCCCATTCCGCCTCCCTGTGTTCTGATGATCATTAGTCTAACGTGTCTCTGAAACATTCATCATACTTAGCTGGGTTTCTCATTTGTTTTGACTTTTTAAAAAATGATGAAACAAGTATGGAAGAGGTATTTGTCAGTAGCTAGCATATTGCAAAAGGATAGGTTCTGTCGTGGTGATAAGTCATGCTGAGGTGTCAGGAACGATTCCTATAAATGCTCAAAGGCCCAGATTCAGATGGTAAAATCTTGGACCACAGAGATTCTTAGGAAGCGCTCTCTGGTGGCATAGTGGTAAGAAGGTATGCTGCAATTCCAAAGGAACACAGTTCTAATGCACAAGCTGCACCTTCCCATGAATTTATAGCCTCTGAAAACCCACTAGAGGGTCAGCCATGAGTTGGTTCCAAGGCACACAACAGCAACAACAGATTATGGAAATGACTTGTGAATAATATGCATTTTTATTTAGAGCTCCTTGCTTTTCCTTAGCCTTCTCTTCTTTCAGTGACCCTCCGCCTTTCCAAGCATGATGTCCTTCTCCAAGGAATAGCCTCTCCTATCAACATGCCCAAAGTATGTGAGATGAAGCTTAATCATCTCGCTCCAGGGAGCACTGGCAGCTCCTTCTCCAAGATAGATCTGTTTCAACAGCTATCTAAACCCAAACCCCACCCTCTTCTACCCCTTCATCAGACATCTGCAGCTTGCCAAGAACTGCTCTAGGCAGTTAACTAATGTGTACTATGTAAATAAAGAAAACCAAATCCATCAAAAGGAAGGAATTCCTTTTACCCTTCAGTGTTCTTCCACTTGCTTTAAACACTTTATTCTCTTGCCATAGACAATACTGTCTCACATGAAAAACAGGTTTTTGTGTTCTTACCTTCAACTTTCTTTTCCACTCACTGTTCTACCCTTTATCTGGTGGGGTTTGATTTTGCCCCACCCCCAGTATTTTACTGTGTTTTTGATGAAGGTTTATGGAGCAAATTAGATTCCATCTAACAGTGACAATGCTTATGTTTTCCACAACTTGTCACCTGCTCAGTGTTTCCATTTTGGCTGCTTGTTTCCATTACTGTAGCCCCCCCTCCCCCCTTTTACTGCCTCATCTTAACTTTAGGGAAATGTTGATCATTTGACTGTTGATCATCAGACAAGTCTGCCATTTAGTTCATGGACAATGACCTTTGAGTTTAGTACAAAATTGAAAGAATAACAGGGAGAGAGACCCAGGTTTTCTTCTAGTTTCTCCTGACCTAATAAATCTGACCTTTATTTTTTTAACAATTTGGGTTTTTATCCACCTTTTTGTCCCCTTGTTTCTAAGATCATCTATTGTTTCCCTTATTAGAATGGTTGGTAGTGGGACCTGGCCACCATTCTATTCGCTCAGGATCAATAAGCTAGAAAGCTATTAAATCTTGCAAATTAGCTTTTATCTTTGAATCTTTGATTTTCTTTTCTTTTGTTCCAGACAAGTAGTAATCAGTACTTGTATCTTGGATGGCTACGCACAAAATATTAAGGGAAGTTATTTAATTTAATTTCAGGTTGTTAGAGGGGGTCAGTCCTTGAAGAGAAGCATCATGCTTGGAAAGGTTACAGGGTGAGCATAAGAGAGGAAGATCCAAAAAGAGAGAGTTTGACACAGTGACTGTAACAGTGAGCTTAAGTGTGTCAGAATTGATGAAGATGACACAGGACTGGGCAGGATTCAGAGCCGTTGTTCATACAGTCGCTGAGAATCGTGGTTTACTCAGCAGCACAAAACACCTTTTTCAAGTGGCTGTTACCAAGGAGCAGTTAACTAAGGAACACAGTTTTTTTTATATTCATAATAGTGGAAAATATTTTTTCCTCCATTTTTGGATTAGCATTTAATTGCAGCTTTCTTAGATGAATCTCTTGTAATTAACAGTGTGGTGATTTCATTTTGCAATGATAAACACTGCAGAGTGTCATCCATAGATTAGCAGTAAGCACACTGAAGTTGACTAATAGGTTACACCAAAGTACATTTTAAAGTGTATTTGTGTAAAAAATTATAACAACAGCTAACATGTACTAAGTGCTAGACACCACTAAGTTATTTGTAGTTACTTCATTCTCACTATCACCCTAAGAAGTTTAGATCAGATTGCTAATGTCTTACTAGAGAAGAAGAAGAACAAGCCACACAGTCAGTATGTCACGCTCAAAGAAGATCCCAGGGATTCAGATTGTGTAGATCTGCCCAAGGTCAAATGGGTCTAGACCTCAAGTACTATTTTATGGCTCTACTATTAGACACGTCCCTGTGGAGACCTTACAGCGGGGTTTGCTCCAGTGTGAAGGCCACTTGAGTGTAGAAGTTGGTTCTTGAACTCCAGAGGATCCCATTATGTACCACGAGACTCAGGTGCTTGGGACCTCTGATGGGGTGAAGGGGTTTATTTTAAACCACATGCTCTTGTCTGTGGAGCTTTTCTCTACAGTTGAAAACCTAAGTCTAATACTAGATGTCTCAGGGAGAGTTTCCCTGGTTTGGACACAAGTTACCTGTGGATTGTCTTGGTCTTTTTAAAAATACCAGGGGTTTTTGTTTGTCTGTTTTATAATTAAAGATTCTTTGGGTCGAAAGAATCATCGGGTACAACCTCCTGCCTGATGTCTGAGCCCAGCCTCTGCTTGGACCCTTCTCCCCCTCCCACAAAGACATGGTAGAATTCCCATTCCTTCAGCCAGCCCAGCCTTCCTTTGCTTTTCAGCACTGGACCCTGGCACGTTGAGACTTTTAATCTCTTTATTACCTGTTACGGCTAAAGTGAGGGTCTCTTCTACCTATTCTATGTAGGATTTTTCTTTATATCTTTTGCTAGAGATTGTAGCTTTTTGTTTTTCTTAAAAAAATTTACAACAGGTAAACTAGATCAGCTCTCTGAGCTAAGCAATATTTGTATTAGTTTAAATAGAATCTATTTGTTTTGTTTTGTTGTTTTTTTTTTTCAAAAAAAAACAAAACCAAAACCCCCCCAACCCACCTATGCTGGATAAATAGTGATAGAATATTTGAAATGGTTTGCGATGCCTCCAGAGTTCCTTGGAAATAAGGGTGTTGGGCCTTCATCTCACATCTTAAGCGTGTTGATAGGAGGGGCCAGTCCTTGGAGGACACCATGCTTGGAAAGGTAGAGGGTCAGCAAAAGAGAGGAAGACCCTCAATAAGATGGATTGACACCGTGACTGTATTAGGGGCTCACGATATCAGAGATCATGAGGATGGCACAGGGTAGGGAAGGGTACAGACCCATTGTTCCTAGGGTTGCTCTGACTCACAGTCCACTCAATGACACATAACAGCAACAACAACAACAACAGTTAATGTGAAGTGGCCCAGTTGATTGTACATTTGAATAGCACCAAATATCTTGTTTCTAGAGGAGGGAGAGAACCGTTTAAAGGAGAGATATAACTGGGTATTTCTGTCATCACAGGAGACTAGAGCAAGGGCTACATGGTGGAGGGGACCTGGGGGAGGGTTTGTAAAACAATGAAAGAATCTTTTCTTTTACTTTTCCATAATTTTTGGACTCACGTACTTATAACTTGCTAGTCAAATTTGTGTCTTCTAGGTTGCAACACCCCCATGATACATCTTCAAGGATATGTACATGTACAGCCAAGCACAATCAATAAGAGTGCATCTGAATTCCAAAATCAATCTCCATAATAGTCTATGTGTTTCCTACTGCCAAAGGGGCCCTTTAGAGTAGTGAGAGAAGATCTTCACCCTGAAACCCACAGCGTCCCTTTTCAGCAGGAAGTAGCTAAGAGAATACGCCATCCCCTTTTCCTTATGACTCAGGGTGAAGTCTCTCTCAGGCAGGAGTGATAGGGAATGGCAAAGGACACACTGACAAAGAAGATTAATCAGAACTGGCTTTGACAAGCACTGTGGCATTTGGACAAGATCAAACTGGGAGGAGGGTAGAGAGAATAGTGCAACAATGAATGAGTGGAAGCCCAAAATCTCTGTAAATGTTTATGAAAATTAATAAAATATAATTATAGAAAAAAAAAAATCTTGTTTCTTACCTGGCCTCTTCTGAAGTCATTGATTCAAGAGATTCTCAGTTTGACAGAGGGTCAACCTTAGTCCTTTAAACTTTTGATTCTACCTGCAAACGTTGAGACATTCTGTGGCTGATGTTAGGGGATATTCGTAAGAAGGCTTTAAAAAATATATAAAGAAATTTTGTGTTATTTTTTTAAAATATCTATCAAAGCATATTTTTAAAAATACAGAAATTTTTCAAACACAAGATAAAGGGAACAGTAATTTACTCCCATGCACCAGCTTCCTTGTTTTCAAGTATCTTTCATAAAAAATCTTTTTAAAGACTCAAAAGAAAATTCTTTGTAGAAGGCTAATGTTCCCACTTTTAGTATTGCTTCTCTATGTGCTCCTGAAGCGAGAGGCCAACTCTTTTCTAAATCTCTGATTCCACTATTTCTCTCCCCAGGGCCCAGTCATATACGCGCAGTTAGACCACTCTGGCGGACAGCACAGTGACAAGATTATCAAATCCGAGTCTGTGGTGTATGCTGAACTCCTGAAGAACTAAGAGAAGACCCAGAAGGTTCCCAAGAAAGAAACAAATCCAAACTGGACTCTTGTGAAGAAAATGTAGCCCACTACCACACGTGGCCTTTGAAATCAAGCAAGGACAAGCACATGGATTTAGAGAGAGAGAGAAAAAGACAAATGTAAAGGATATGTGTAAATACTCTATTTAATCTTGCTGATGTGAGGAGCCAGTGTTGCATGATGAAAACATAGTATGCATCTCTATAGATGTAAATGGTCTTGAAGTTTTTATATGTATTTTCAGGGTCCTTGAGGATTGGGAAATTTCAGAAACATTCCTATCACCATCATTTTGAAACAGTTTGCCTTAATGGACACAGTAGTAGATTCTTTAGTATTCTAATAGACGTGGCCTTTGTATCTAAAGGCTTAACCAGTTTTTTAACTAGTTTTTTAATGGTTGTTGTGTACCATCCAGTCAGTTCCAACTCTTGTTTAGAAGGAGATGCCCATCCTTTTCCCACAGAGCAGCTAGTAGATTCAAACCATGTGCCTCTGCTATGGCAGCACAGCTCCTTGCCACTTGGCCTCCAGAGATCCTTCGGATTTACTTTAGAGAATGGAGATGCTTGGATAGGGACATTCCCAGGGTGGCCTGTATTTAATCCAGTGTCAACACCACTTGCTTGGTGGTTTGCATTTAGAAACCATCTCTTAACTATGACACCTGAAGGCAGTTTAAGTTTTTGTTGCCATTTTTCTAAATTGTGGAGCAAAGTTTTAGCTTTACATGTTACCTAGACCTACTTCTCCCCCACTCCTTTGCGTGCCATCAAATCTTATCTGACTGGCACAGGTGGAGGGTCCCTTTCTTCTCCAGTGGAACATCTGGTGGATTCAAACCATGAGCCTTTGGGATTGCAGTGCAGCATCTTGTCACTAGGCCACCAGAGCTCCCTACCTAGACTTACTTTACCAATATACCCTTTGCTCTTGTTCTTGCTAGGTACTGTTAACTATGACTCACAATGACCCTGTCTGCAGCACATCAAGCTTTGCCCAAACCTGCCCCGTACTCCTAATTTCTATTGTGCCCATTGCTGCAGACACCTTGTCAGTTCATCTCATTGAGGAGCTTCCTCTTCTTTGTTGACTCTGTTGTTTCAAGCGTGATGTCCTTTTCTAAGGACTGACCCTCCATTATTACATATCCAAAATGTGAGTAAAAGTCTCTCCATTCTTGCCTCTAAAGATCACCCTGGTTTTACTTTTTTCAAGACAGATTTTTGTTGTTGTTTTGGCATTCTATAGGATATTCACTTCTCTTCTCCAGTACCACAGTTCAAAGGAATCAGTTCTTTTTTGGTCGTCTTTATTCATTATCCAGCTTTGGCAGGCACGAGAAACACTTGAAAATACCATGGTCTGGGTCAAGTGCACCTTAGTCTATAAACTGACATTCTTGCTCTTTAACACTATAAAGAGGTCCTTGACAGAAGATTTGCATAGGATAACTAACATGTCTTTTGATTTCTTGACTTCTGCTTCCATGGGCATTGAACATGAATCCAAGTAGAATGCAATCCTTGACAGCTTCAGTATTTCTCCACTTATTCTGACGTTGCCTGTTGGTCCAGTTGTGAGAATTTTTGTTTCCTTAATGATGCGGTGTGATCCATCCTGAAGGCTGTAGTCCTTTCAATAGATGGTTTAAGTCCTCTTCGCTTTCAGCAAGTAAGATTATATCATCTTCATAATGCAGGGTGTTGATGAGTCTTGCTTCAGTCCTGATGCCGCATTCTTCATATTGTCCTGCTTCTTGAATTATATACAGATTGAGTAGGGAGAAAGGATACAACCCTGGCACGCAGCTTTCTCAATATTAAAACATGGAATACTCCCTTGTTCTGTTAAAATAGCTTTGTCTGTTTACAGGTTCCACCTGAGCACAATTAAATCTTCTGGAATTCCCACGCTTATCAATTTTATCAATAATTTATGATTCACAAAGTCAAATGTCTTTTTATAGTTAAATACAGAAAAATATCTTTCTGGTATTCTCTACTTTTCACCAAGATCCGTCTGACATCAGCAGTTGTGAAGGTCAGTTTTGTGTGTCGTCATGGCCGTGATCATCATCATTACAGTAACTCCTTTATGTGTTGTTACTGCTAACCTCAACGATGTTTGTAAGGCCAGATTGTAAGCAGATCTGTGAAGATAGGCTTTGACTTGTCTGATTAAGGGTTAAGTCTTCTCAGAGTTGTGGCTGGAATGGTATTTTTGTTTGGACTCTGGAGGGTTTTTTTGGTCAGAACTACCTCTGGCTGTCTGGCTTGTGGTCTACAGACTTAAACCAGTGGCCTGCTGTACTTGCTGACTATAGACTTGTCAGCATCCAAAGCAAAGACAGCCATTTGGGACCCTCTTTTGCAAAAGCCTTGAGACATGCCAGCCTCTGAAATGTGCAGCCAAAAGTCTCCCAAGCCAGCGTTTGAGTCCCTGTCTCCCCAGATGCCTTTATTTTGAGGTCTGACTTAAAGAACTGGGACTTGCATCTACAACACATGTATCATTTATTGAAATAAATCTCAATCTCTCGCTCCCTCACCCTCCCTCTCATATATATATATATATTTTTTTTTCTTCACTGGAAAATCCAGCCCAAGATAACAGTGATAACCCTTGTTCCACAGTCTCTTTGGAATCCAGTATCATTTTCTGGCAGTTTTCTGTCAATATACTACAACAAGTGTTTTAAAATTATCTTTAGATAATATTTTACTTGCATGTGATATTAATAATATTGTTTGATAATTTCTTCATTCTGTTGGATCACTTTTATATATATACAAAAATTCAATTATTTTCCAATCATTTGACTAATTCCAAATTTCTTGGCATAGCTACTGAGCACATGCAGGGATGCATTTGTTTTCTAAAACACCTCAGTTTTTATTCCTCCAATTCACAGAGCCTTATTTTTTACCAATGCCGCCAGTATAGCTTTGAGTTCTTTCTTTATTAGTGCCACTGGTTCTTGGTCATATTCTACTTCCTGAAACTGATGTGGACTAGCTCTTTTTGGTAGAATGCTTGGTTATTCCTTTCTTCTTCTTTTGATACTCCCCCTGTCATTCAATATTTTATCCATAGAAGCCTTCAGTGTTGCAACTTGAGACTTGATTTTTTTTTTCCCCTGTAGTTTTTCAGTTTGAGAAATGCCAGGCATGTTGTGCCCTTGGGGCTTCCTAACTCCAGGTCTTTGCACGTTGGATCCTAATACTGGGTCTTCTTCAACTCCCTTTTGAAATTTTCTGTTTAGCTCTCCTATTTCATCATTTCTTCTTCTGCCTTAGCATCTCTTCATTCAAGAGCAAGTTTCAGAATCTCTTCTGCATCCATTTTGGACATTTCTTTCCTTCCTGTATTTTTAATGACCTTTACCTTTCTTTCATAGGTCATCCCCGACTCATCTAGTCTTTTGTTGTTAGTGTTGAGTGCATCAAATCTTTTCTTGAGATAGTTTTTGGGTTCAGGTGAGATAAACTCAGAGCCACTTTTGGCTCTTGTGGACTTATTTTCATTTTCTTCACCTTCACTTTGAACTTGAATGGGAGCAATTGAAGGTGCTATTGCATCATCCCTGACTTACGGCGTCTTCTCGGTGTCAGAGTTTAGCTCACAGAGTTTAGGATTTTCAGTGGCTGAGTTTTTGATCGTAGATCACCAGGCCTATGATGAGACTCAAACCTCCAACTTTCTGGTTAGCATCCATATTATGCATTAATTGTTTGCACTGCCCAAAGACTCTGTTAGACCGGTTCACAAATAAACTTAAAATAGACAGTCTAGACTTTGCTTGAGGAGTATTGTACTGTTTAGAGAGTAAAGGGTGTCAGTTATTCTCTTTGCTGAAATCCTTACCTGCTTGACATAGGAGTTCTAATATAGCTGAAGGAGAGGAGTTTCATTTCCTCTTAAGAAAGCAGAAATGGTGTCATTGGATTGGCAGTCTCCAGTGTTCAGAGCTCTTTAGAGAAGTCATCATCTTCATACTCTGCAGACAGGATCCTCACAAAAGGCCACCGTCTAATGTGGCTCTCCAGTAGCTTCACGGTTTTTCAAAGGCCTTCAAGATCAAAAAGGGTAAAGATCTTGAAGCACAAGCAAACGGGCCTTGTACCGCTACTTTGAGAATCTCATCTGTGTCCTACGCCCTTTATTTTAGTGGACTTTCCCCCCTCATTACATGAAATTGTTCCACAATGAAGGAATGTGTACATAATTTTGCATTATAACTCATTTTCTTCTCCCTTTGACCCGACCACATCTCTGATCTGTTTTTCTATTTTACTGGGATTGTACAATGTGGTGAAAAAATCACAAAATACATATTTATATTGCCATTCTCTTAGCTTCCTGTATTATCTTGTTTTTAAAAGAAACAGCATTCCCACTTCCTCTAAAAATGTATTTTAAAACACTGATTCTGGGAAAAACAGTAATTAGATGGTCCACAAAGCATGTGTGGGAAGTGGGCATGGGAAATGATTCTGATTTTCTCTTACTTTTTTCACACCCATTAGAAGCTGCTTCCTTTCTCATCCCACCTCCAGCCCTCTTAGGGAGTGCTGGAAGGTTGGATCCTATGAGAATTTGTACAGGGAGCTAAATAGAATTTAGATTTAAAGCTGGAAGATGAGTGTGTGTATGCACAAAAGTGTGTATGGGTGTTTTAGTGTGTATTTTGATGAAATGGAGGGGTGGGAAGGCCATTTGAACTTCCAAACTAACTATGATCCATAAGTATGTCACTTCTACTACCTGAGAAATGATTCATTGTTTTATTTCTGTAAAGATCCTGTTTGCATTCCATTTCCGTGTGAACAGAATGGTTCACTGACAAGGTTTTGTGTTCACAATTACTTGGCCTCCTGAGTTGCCTCGCGCAGAGTTTGGTCTGCGTCCTGGGTGGAAAGGAGAGCGACTTCCCTCTCTCCATCTCTCACCTCCAGCGCTACCAGCGGCTTGCCCTGAGGCTTTTCTCTCAGGCCCTTACAGAAAGAAGACTACCTGAGCCTTTAGAGGACCTCTTGTGCTTTTGGAATTCCTATTGGAATTGTT